TATTATTTATAGAGACACACTGGACAGAAGTCATCAAAGTTTGTTATTTTTATCCAGTACAAAATAAGATTTTTCACAAAAAAACAGCAAAAAGGGAATAATTTTGATCACACATCTATAAAAATCCATACTAAGTCATCAAAATCTAAAAATAATCAAAATCCATACATGTTTTCGGATATGATGGGACTTTGTGCCATACAAGAAACCAATAATAAATTGATCAAAAACAGACATAACAGATATGACACCAAAGCCAGTTTACATTTCTATTGTACAACTACTGTAAAACATGTCTTTTTAGCTACCATGTTACTTTAGCTGATTTAGCTAATCTGTAATTTCGCTAATTTAAGATGTCGCTAATGTAGAATAAAGTATATTCTCACAATGAGATTGTTGGCATTTTAGCTAAATTAAGATTTTGTTAATTAATGTATTGAGTCAAATTCGCTAAAACGGCATTTAAATATTTCAACATATTTACAGTATATAAGTCTATTAATTACTGCATCAGATTGAAAATAAATGAAATAAAATAAAAATTTATATTGGCGGGATGACTTAATTTGCATAGAAAATAATTAACTTTGGGCTCATTTGCATACTTATTCTCAAACTATGGGTAGGTATGGATATCAGAAAACACAGGATTTATTTTATTTTGCTTGTAATGTACTGAGGAAGCATGGGATAACAAATTGTCAAGTCAATGTAAAATTGATGGCACTAAAGGGGCAGTCACACAATGACGTTCTGGCTAGCGTTCTCTGGCGTTTGAGAAAACGTTGGTAGTCGCCCAAAGTCGCTGGGACAGCGCCAGAAGAGTGCCGTGAGAACGCTAGTGATTGTGGGGAATCGGCAGAGAACGCTGATCCAAAAAAAAAGTTTTGAACATGCACAAAAGTTCTCATTTGAGAGCAGCGTTCTTCAACGTTTATTTTTAAACGGTGTTAAATGTTAAATAACGTTCTTCAATTGTTTTGCTAACGTTCGACAATCGTTAGTCAGTCGTTGCTCTAGCGTTACTTAGTTGTTACCAATCGCTCGCTTTGCAGTGAACAACTCACTAGCGACCTGTCAATGACCGCTGAACGTACCCCTAGCGCACTAAAGCGTGCGACTAACGTCAAATTAATGACTTAAACTATTCATTCGTTATTCACACGTTAGATACATGCTCAACAAGCTCACTTAACGTTTAAAAGTCGTTCATCGCGCGCTAGTGACACGTTAGCACACATAAATGATTTCCAGGGGTATCTTACTTGGTCGCTCATTACATGCTCCTCGTGCGTTAGGAACACGCTAGTCATACGTTAAGGCACTCGTTAATCGAACGCTGGATGTGTCTACCTCGTTCCAGAATGCTCGGAAATTGGAACGTTCAGAGAACGCTGACAAAACGTTATGGTGTGACGGGGCTATTGGCTTTGTACAAATATACATTACTGTGAAATACTCTATTTTAGCTGGAATTAATTTTAGCTGAAAAGACTTTTTGGGTGTTTTGTGTGGATTTTATTTTCACCGATTTTTGACGAGTTGAATGTAAAATATCGGAAAAAAGTATATTCACTGTATTTTATTTTCACTGAATCATTCCTTCAGCGGAAATAGCGAAAATTAATTCCCAGCGAAAATAAAGTATTCTACAGTATACTGTAAAACATGTCTTTTTAGCTAAGCATGTTATTCATGTTATTTTAGCTAATTTAGCTAATCTGTAATTTCGCTAATTCAAGATGTAGCTAATTTCAAAGAAAGTGTATTCTCACAATTAGATTGTTGGCACTTCAGTGAAATTGCGATTCTGTTAATTCTTACATTTTGGTAAAATGGTACACAGCTATTTCAACTTTACAGTACCTTACTATGTATTCCCTTTACAGGGGTTGCATTAGTGTTTGATAATGTGGAGTCCCTGGGACCCACCCCTTATAAAATGTGTGGGTCCCTTAAAAATATGTGGGGTCCCTGCCGCTATGGCACTTTATTTTTTTTAAATATTTTTTTGCACGAACTATTACACAATAAACATAAACAGGCATTAATCACATTTATATTGTACTTTATTTACATGTTCATTCCAGCCTTTACATGTCAGCAATCTGCATTATTTACATGGTTTACTTCTATTTTTACTGTTATTAAAATGTAATGCTGCTTGTAAAAAATTTAAATTATTACTGGGTTTACCCTCAAGTTCTTCATAAGCCAAGATAAATGAGCTTGTGTCAGACTTAACTTAGACTTAATACGATTCTGACAAGAAAAGACATGGCCACATGGAACCTGCCGGGGAGGCGATCTTGCAAATAACGAATCGATCCATGGCTTCTAGAAAAGTGATTTTGTGTTATATAATTAAATAATTCATTGTTTCGATTAATATTGTCCCCAGAAAACAATACACCCAAAATTTGTACATACTAGTACTCAGTAGTACCAGATTCTGCAGTAAATTTGCCTCTGGGCAGTTTGGGTTTTTAAAAAAAATAAAATGGAACCAAGAAATCGGCGATTTTTCGGCAGATTTTATTTGATATTTGTTATTTAAATATTTTGGCGTCATTTTTCGAACATTTCAATCTTTCCTAACGCCTAAAATAGAGTAAGTTTTTATTCAAGAGTACGTTTTTTGTGACTAGCGTGAGTGTGCAAACTTCGTTTCGGTTCGAGTTGTCACTGTAAATGATGTTAAATTAGTCTTCAAATGCTCAGTTTATCTTTTGAAAACAACTATTTTTTTTATTTGAAAAAAAAATCATGTCGTTTTCCCATAAAAATCCAAACCAAATGATCGTACTACAACATCGGCAAATCTCTTCCGCGTTGCGTTAAATAACATTAACATATTTAAATGAGCTATGGTAATTTGAACAAGTTGGCGTCATCCAGCATTTTTATTGGTTAATTAGAGATTTGACCTATTAGGTCAACCATGCAAGACAAGGAACATGGTGGATACTCAACAGCGTCGAGCGTTAATTTGCGAATTATTTGCTTACGACGAAACAAAGTTGAATTTTATTTGCATTTCATTACAATTCAACAAATTTGTTTTTTTGAACGTTATTATAATCACTACTGAGTAATAATCAACAATTGTGAATGCAGCATGACTGGATTGCGAAACCGTGATCATTTGTTGCTTGGCAGTTGTGTTCGTTTTTACTTTGTTTAGAATATAATTTTAATAAAAAAGTGTATTTCGCGTACCAGGTTCGTTAAAGTGATTTTTTGGAGAAAAATTACCCTGGGTGACATTGCAAGTTTTAGGCGGTTAAATTAGCAGGTCATAGTGCATTCTACTTGTCACAGTATTGACTGTCTCGCCGTACTTCAAACGAGACTTCACACTTTCCATTGTGAAATGTAGATGCTAATTTACAAGCTCTATGAACTTTGTATGCCGGACAATGGCATCGCAAACGCACACAATGCCTTTATGCCAAGACCTATCATAATACGACCGAGACGTTTGCTCACCGGATGTGTCCCAGGGACTCACCAGTTGAAAAATTCATGCGTCCCACAGAAAAACTATGCTTCCTGGACGCTGAATTCCACGTTAACGCAATCCCTGCCAAGGAAACCATAGAATCCTCCATTTTAACTTAGAATTATCAAAAATTCCACACCCTAGCAGGGAGAACCCTATCAACTTGGTGGCGCCGCTGAATTGCAGTGCTCTTTGTAATTTTTTTCTAGAAAACCCCCTGTTAGACTGTCCTATGATAAACTGCCCAGCATTTTTTGATATTAAGATTTTATCTTGCTTTATATATATATTATATTGATTTCTCAAATTCATAAATACTCACACACACAAATACTCCCAAGAATACAACTTCAAAAGTACACAACTTACTCTAGTACATTGTTTCCTCTCCAGAACATGTGGGTTTTTGACAATGATATTGGCGACAATGGCGGATTATGTTACAGGGAGATTACTTTTGTTCCTGGTCTCTATAAAATCTTTGATGAAATTTTGGGTAAGAAATTCACTATTTTATTGTGCATTCACTATTGTACTGTGAAATTCTTTGTCGCTGAAAGGATGATCCAGTAAAAAATAAAATCCAACGAATTCACCTTTGTTTTTCTGTATTTTACATTCAACACATCAATAATCAGTGAAAATAAATTCATACAAAACACCCAGAAAGTCTTTTCAGCGAAACTAATTCCAGCTTAAAATGAAGTATTTTACAGTATCAAGGAAATTCTTCTTCACTATCATGCAATCATAGTTGTGTATGTGGCTATTGAAAGCTTAGATTCAGATGGATTTAGTGTCTCACTGTGGTTTTGGGTACTTGTGTAAATTATGTCTTGCATTGACAGGAACATTTTTATGTCTTTTCAACTGTGCTGTTCAGACAACGAATGTGTTTATCAAGAATTTACAGTAATTTAGAATAGTAATTAGAAAAATGTGAAAATTGTACACATCTCAAGATGGAATTCATTGTTACTGTAAACTAGCACTTTAACAATTTTTTAAAAATGTTTTAATAATGTATGCTTTTTTCATTCCATGTTACAGAACACAATTTCACCTCAGAAACAAGTTGAAAAAAAGGCCAATTTTGACAATTTTTTCATGATATTTCAGACACTGATATTTCAATTTGTTTTTCCATTATCTAAATGGCATGAACATATAATAATAAAAAACATAACATGACATCAATTTGGCTTGAACCTCTTCAAATGACCTTAATCTATATTTTTGAGGAAAAGAGAAAACTGGTGGTGAAAAGGTCAATGGCATGAACCCATAGTAATGAAAGCGTAAAGGAAATGACATCTTCAATTTGCTTAAACCTCTCTAATTTATATTTTGATATTTTTATGACATTCTGAACACAGTGACCCATCTTTATTTTCAGTATCTTAATGGCATGAACCCATAATAATGAAAACGTGAAGGAAATGACATTTTACATGTAAACTTGCACTAATCTTAATTTGTATTTTGATATTTTTCACACAGTAAATGCTGCTGACAATAAGCAACGTGATGCCAAGATGGACTGCATCAAAATTACTATTGATCCGTAAGTACTGATTGCATTGCCTATCTCTTAAAGTACCAACAAATTTGTATTAGATGCAGCAGTTGGTATTTTTGAACAATTGAATCCAAAATTCACCATTTTTCATATTAGATGCTCTAATTAAGACTGCACTGCCTCTGTTGCAATATTTTATTAGAAGTTTCTAATACAGATTTTATACTAGAATTGTATTCCCTCTTAGCAAATACAAAAAGTTGAGATTTCATCTTAAAACCCACCTTGAATGGTGTTGAATAAACAATAGGAGTGTTTCTCACAAACTGCTTCAGCAGATTTAACTGCTGTAACGAAGCATGTACATTTCTTGTCTGCAAATAATTTTCAATTAATGTGCACAGAATAGTTTCCCTTACGTGCTTTTTTTTTTACATTTTACAGTGACAATAATCAAATAAGTGTTTGGAATAATGGTAAAGGTATTCCCGTTGTGGAACATCAAACTGAGAAGGTTTTTGTACCGACATTGATTTTTGGTCATTTGTTGACATCTAGTAACTATAACGATGATGAACGAAAAGTTACAGGTAGGACCTTGTTTTATTGTCTCCAAAATGTCAGACCAGATGCTTTGCATACCGTTTAATCTAAAGTAAATGCCATGTTTTTACCGTACTTATCCGGGTAAGAGCCCATGCCTGGGCAAACGCCCACCCCAACTTTTGACACAATAAAGGAGTTGAGGTCATATCCGGACACACGCCCAGGGGGTCTTTTTCTACACACAAAAAAAAAATCTATTTTCTATTCGTTGATTGTGGTTGTATTAACAGTTGACTTTCTTGAAGACTGTTGTGATACTTTTAAATAATGTTAATTGCGTAGAACAAGGGTGAACGCAAAATAGCTGTGACAGCTTTCTGCCTTCAGGGCAGCGCGTTCTGAATCATAACAGTCAGCAAGTCTATACAAATATATATTAAAGCAGAAACGGTAGTTCTCTTTTTAAAATATGTAGTGGCCCTAAAATTGGCCGGCCGTTTGGTTTGTGCTTCCTTAGTAATTTAGAAACGATTCAGGCAAATCGTAAAAGGAGAGCCGCAAGTGTCGTACTCGCTTTAGCGCCGTCGACAATGAAACCAATGTTGCAATATTGTAGCAACCTGTACCTGGAGAGTGGTTGAAATCACGTTA